TCTCAAAACAAGATCAAAAAGACTTTTTGGCTGGATCTAAGATTTTAAAACTTGGTTAGGTGTACATTTTTTGCAGTGTAGATCCACTATTAGCTCATCAGTCCTATCGGACTGTTATTTTATCCAAAATGTCAGCTAAAATTGTAATTATTTATAAACTTTCTACCCCTGAACTATACCTTTAATTTTATTTGCCTGATGTTTCAGATCATTGTAGGATTAAACTTGTCCAATAAAATTAGTTCTTTGAAAAGCAAACATGATGAGGTAGGATGTTTACAAGCAAAATCAACAAATGACGTTTTTTTGGTGTTGTTTGTTCCTCCCATTGTGTTCAACACATTTTAGTCACATATTTGCATCTTTTTATCTTCATATTTCCATTTACTCCTTACCACCCTGTTCACCTATAAGACTGACATGTAGCAACACGTCTGAAAAGGAGGAAAAACCAAGAACAAATAAACAATGGAAATAAAATAAACAGCTTTGAGACAAAAAGGAGCATGAGAAGGATTCACCCAGTGATGGATGAATGTTCACAGGTTTGCAGATGATGGGGTCTAASAGTGAGAAAATGAAAACACTGGATCTGTGTTTCCACATTTTTTTTTTATCTGACTAACACTTTTAAAATATGACCATAAGAGTTATTATCAGGATGTGCATCCCTGTTCCAGTCAGCCAGATGCCAGAAGGCACACTTTTACTGTGAGGTTTTAAATTTTCTTTAGTTTAATAGGTTTAATTTCTGCTGTTTGACATCATAATCCCTCTGATGATTTACTGTGAGGTCAACATCTGAGTTTTTTTTTTAATTTTATTTAACAAAGTAAAACCAAAAGGTCAACAAGATACAACTTTGAAACACATGCTTTGAGAAATCCATGAATTATTATTATTATTTTTCCCCCCATTTTTGCTCTGACATTAAATGCTGTGCCCTAACAGCTGATGTATATTTTTACTGTGGTAACTGTAATTGAAGTCAGCAGGGTAGTTTAACCCATCAATCACATGAGCGCAGCACACAGAGAGTAAAAACACTGTGATCAYGTATTTAAAGAAGACCAGATGTAGGCAGTGAATCACAGAGATAATCAAAAACTAAATAACGTCAAACACTTGGTGACAGGAGGTATTGTGTGAACTATGCTGATGTTCCATCTTGTCTGAACCACATTTCTTTTTTTTTGTTTGTAGCTTGATTGGAATTGATCACCTGCTGAAAACTGATATAGAAGTTTAGGAGGATGTTTTAGTAGATTTTGTTCAGGTCCCTGGTGGTGCGTGACGTCTTACCTCAGAGGCCCTGACCAACCATGACAGAACCTTCTGGTCTGTGAACAGTAAACCTGGCATTATGTTGTGAGTCCTCCTCTAAAAGTGCTGCATTATCTTTTTGTTGTTTAAATTTGTAGGGGGTATGTCACATTTTCAGCTCACAGCTTCTTCAATTCTGCAAATTCAGAATCCTGCTGAAWTCCTTGTAACTAAAGCCAAACACTTCCACTCCTGATTATTTTTTCAAATTTATTTCTGGAAGAAAATGATTGCACTGAAATGACTTTGTCCCTATTTACATTTTGCATCCTTTTCATTAGATTTTCTACTAATTTTTCCCCCAGGAGTTGTTGGTAGGTGTAAAYTCGAAATTCCCAAAATACTATTAAAAAGACATAAAATCTTTACCAATATAACAAACATCTCCTAATGTTAGCCTCTATAAGATTAAACAACAGCAAAATGAACCTAAATGGAGTCTAAAATTTATGAGAATGAACTGTTAATTTGACGTTTGATGGTGTAAAGGTTCAAAAATAATTACTGCATTCCAGCTAACAGGGTGGTTTATTCAAGTGTTATTAAGTAGAAAAAGAGGAAGAAAAAGAAAACAAATCCTGCAGTCATAAGGGTTAAGGTTGGGTCCAGCTGTTTTTAAGCATCGTTTTTCAGACTTACCAAATGTCTTTTAGTGGTTTTTTTTTTTTTTTTGCAGACTCCTACCACTTAACTCTGATTTATGAATCACTCAGCCGTAAAGACTCCTCAACTCAAGCAGCGATCCAATGTTGGGACGACACGAAACAGAGAACTCAGAAAATCACCTCCCAGCCTGAGGCAGTGTGGACTGCTCTCTGCACACATTATGGGTTTTCTCCAGGCACTTCAGATTCATCCCACAGACCAGAAACATACGTTATGTTGATAGGCAACTCGTGAATGAGAATGAATGGTTGTTTGTCTCGTTCGTTTCTATATGGCTCTGTGATGGACTTACGGACCTGTGTACCCTGCCTGCTGGAGACAGACACCAGCAGTGTGACCCAGAAAGGAAGATAAAAGGGGGTCAAAGCAAACAGATGGATGACATCCTGGCTCCTTTGTTGCCAGCAGCCTGTCACAAAGACTGTTTCACTTTCTTTAGCTGAATCTGTAAGAAACTCTTGACATACAATTGTTGTGTAATTGAAAGATGATACAGTATGTGTGTCGGGTCCTGTCAGGTCTTTGCTGGCCCCCCCCCCACCCCCCACAACTAACATTTAGATGCTGTCCATACATGTATGTATATGTGTGTGTATGTATGTGTATGTATGTGTATGTGTATGTGTATGTGTATATG